AAGCGAAGAATTGATGACAAAGATTCTTAATGAAAATTTTTATATTTATAAATTATATCAACATAAATATACATAAAATGTGCATACCCACATAAATATAATTGGAGTATGTTGCAATCTAATCAATATTAATATAATCAGTATAATTTCCATGAATAATGAAAATTTCCGTGAAGATCAAACGTATTGCATACATGATTCAGGTATTTTCAAATTTATTCTTTTCTAGGATTATTATGGATTTTTGTTTTGTTAATATGGACGATCTCATCGAGTCTAGCGATCAACATCAACTGTTGCCCAGACTCAACGTGGTCGTCATCTTCGAAAAATTGTTCCGATGGCACAAAGATTCGTCTTACATGCCCGTCTGATGGATATTACATAATCGATTCTAAAGAAGAAAACTTTACTATAATCGAAGAATATGGGATGCCATGGCTTCAATTCGTAGAGATGAGTCACATAAAATTAAAGGCAGATAGGTAAATCATAATATTAGTTCTATTTTATTCGATATTATTTTCGAGTTCAAAATTATAAGAAAATCTTTTTTTAAGAAGATTTGTTTTGCTTAAGTTTCAAAGAATGTTAAATTATAGATGATCATAATAATTTGGATTAAATTTAAATTAAGTTACTTAATTTTAGCTAATGAAATTCTATATCTCATATCTATATCTTTGTAATAAATGTAATTAAATTTTCTTATTCAATAAAACATAGAATAAAAAGAAAGAAAGAATAATAAAATAGAAGAAATGCTTAGAATAAAAATTAGATAATTAATATATATAAAATTTGATATATAATATATATAATGTTTCTTTTTAAACTTAAAAAATTTTTTCTTTCATTTTTTTCTCAAAACATAAAGAAAAAATAAAATTATCTTTTTATATTTCGCTTTTAAATATTTTGAATTTTTTTTTGGATAATTTTATTTGAATTTATAAAAATATTCTGTATATGTTTAATTAATATGTACGCTATAATAAATTAATTCAATATTCAGTTTCTGCGTGACAAATTGGGAAAACAACTCGCAAGTGGTTTTGATATGCTTCGAAGGCGAACATTACGTGATGTGGAAGAACACATTGTTTTGTATTCTTAGTATCATATCAGCCATATTCTTAATCGCCACCCTAGCAGTTTATGTTTTACTACCAGAATTAAGGGAAATTCAAGATAAGGCGATGATGGCTGTGGTCACGTCATTAGCAGTCAGTTACATTATCCTTTCTGTACAAAATTTAAGATTGTCAGGAGAAGAAGATTACACAATATGTGCCTCTTTAGGTATGATATGCTGATATGAATTCATACAAATTGATTTGAACGATAATTCATCTAAATATTTCTTTAGGGTTTATTTTATATTTCGGATTTATGTCCGTATTTTTCTGGTTAAACATTGTTTCTTTTAATATATGGAGAACAGTTTGGTAAATATTTTATTAAAAAAATATTTAAAGTCCAATTTTTTCCATTTATACTTCTAATATATCTATTAATATATATTTTTTTCAGGTTTAAAGATTTTATAATCGCAGATAAACCACTTTTTATTATTTATAGTATTATTGGATGGGGTGGACCAATGTGTTTTTTAATAGTATCCTTGATCGCTCATCATGTAGATGGAACCCATTTGAAACCTGGTTTTGGAGATAATACTTGTTGGTTTAACGGTAAAATCGATATTTATAAAATATTAATAATTTTTAATAAATCTTATTGTTATTGTCCATATTATTATAGGCCCTGAGCAAACGTGGGTATATTTTTATGGACCAATTGCTATTTTATTGACGTTAAACATTATCTATCTTGGCTTAACTGGCTGGCGATTGTGGCATCAATATAGAGATTATAATGGAAGCAATTTACGATCACTTCGTTTTAAATGTCTGCTTTATATCAAACTGATATTTGTCATGGGTATTACATGGATATTTGAAGTAGTTTCATTTGTTGATCATAGTAAAAATGATTTTTGGTAATTTTTATTTATTTATTTACTTATTTTTTATTTTTTTAAAAGCGCTAAAAATTAATTTTTTTTCAAGAAACAATTTTAATCAAGAAATAATAGATTATTTGATTAATCTCATTTATAAATAATAATTTCTAATTTTAATTTCTAATTTAAATTTCAATCTAGGATACCAACGGATATACTAAATGCATTACAAGGTTTAATAATATTTCTACTATTAGTCGCGATGCGAAAACGTGTCAGAAAACTGTTGGCAAAAAAAAAACCTTGTGGAATTAGCTTTCCAAAATCTTGGACAGCTTACGAAGATGAAGAATGCGAAGAAGTTCTACCTGAAGAAGTTGAGTTATCGCAACATGACTAATATTTGTTAAAACATTTTTTTTTCACCGATAAATGTGATTTTTATTTTTTTTTTTTTTATATCAACACCGTTTAGTTTGAAATAATCATAAGTAGTGATAAAGAAAAAAATTATATATTTGTTTGTTAATAACAAAGTGATAGAAGAATTGTATAGAATTTATAGAATTCAATACTTTTTTACCATTTACCTAGTAGTAACATACATATAATTTTTATAGCTAACGTATTACTAGAAATATATTTTTTTATAATCTCAAATGAATTGTCAAGAAATAATAATATTATAATAATAATAATTATTTAAGAATCTCTAAAACATTACTGAGTAATGAATATTGCATTATTATGTCAATTATAATTGTGTCATCAATTGAATTTTTATAGATATATATATATATATATATATATTAAGAGGAAATCGATTATTATCGCTTTGGTATACTTGTCATTGTAATAATTTTGTCTAATCACTTTATTGTTTCCTTTAAAAACGTTCATATCAAACTTTTTCATAAGTGGCTGACGCAGCATTTATAATGGCGAGATGACAATTCATCTTAATATATATATATATTACATCTTTTAAGTATTAAATAAGTGTTAGTCAAATTCGTTTTTCTTTTTCGAATGTAAATGTTGGAAATTAATAGAATTATTTTTCATAAATTTAACAAATAAAATGTTAAGTTTTTTTTTCAAATTTAATTGATAAAAAAAAGCAAACAAAAAGAAATAAAATGAAAAACAAGATTAATTATGAACGATAAAAATTATTTTAAGCATCGTAACACTAATATAAAAATCGTATATAATATTACTTTGTATAGAATTATATTTTAATATTTTAATATAAATTTTATTTTTATTTTCTATAAAAATTATGATATATTTTATCTTTTAATAAAAGTGGATAACGTAAATCAGATTTAAAAAAAAACGAGAGAGATTTATAGTATATAGAAAAAAAATTAGATTAGTTAGAATTGTAATCTTTTTTATATCAAATTTTTAAAACGATTAAAGAAAACAATAAATATGATTAATAAAATAATATGCTGTACTATAAAGAAATAAATTAAAATGCTAAAGAAACATATATTCAATAATTATCTACATATTATTATAAGTAATATTACTTGACTATGCAAAGATTAAAATTAACATTGTCGTATTTGATATACATACATATATGATATTGTAATGTGATGTGCGTGGTGTGCACATCAATGAAACATTAATGTTACTAATCAATATTTTAGTAACGCAAAAAATACTTCTGCAGCAAGAAAGACGTAACATTTTTATTGTTTAGTAATAGCTATATAAAAGATGATTCATATATATCAGTTTATAAACAATTTTTAGATTTTTTTTCTTATATATTATAATTTAATATATTTAATATATAATATAATTAATTTAATATATACATATAAGCATGAATTGCAACCTATTTAAATTTAATTCATAGACATATAAAATAATCTTTTTACAGATTTTTTATGTATAATTATGTAGAAATTATTATTCATTTATAATATAATCTGTTTTGAACTTTCTTTTATAACTTGTTATTTATGAAATATTGTCATTTATATATTATTATACTTATATTAATAAGTATCAATAATATATAATAAGTATGTGTATAAATAAACTGTGTATATATATAATAAATAAATATGTAAATAATAAATATTTATAATATAAAAAATTGATATAAATATAAAAAAAATCAAATTAAATACTATATATTATCAATTAAGTCTTATAATTAATTAAATACTATATATTATCAATTAAGTCTTATAATAATATATATACCTATAATAATCGATTATTAAACAAAATTTCGTATTTTGATTTCCATTATATTCAGCATGAATTCATTTCAATAATAATCATATGAAAAAAAAGAGCAAGTAAATACTTTTATAAAATATAAAAGTATATATATTTATAAAAATATATAAGTATATATATTTATAAAAATATATATAATCGTATATGGATATGATTTTAAATTATATGTTTAATATATTTATATGAATTTTAAATTATAATTTTTGTCATTCATAAAGAAGGTTTACAAAACTAAAATATAAAAAAAAAATGTAAAAATAAGAAACATGAAATAGTTTCAAGAATGATTATCCAATATATAGATGAATAAATGATGAAATAAATGTAAATAACAAAACTATTAATAATCATAAATTTATTATATAAATATCAATAAATCGTTATAAATGACGTTATTATAAATATTCGAATAAAAATAGATCCAGAAACTTGAATAATTTGAGGAAGATGAAAACATAAAAATAATTATAAACATTTTTTAATTTTTATACATTTGTAACATTATACTTTAATATTTTTAATTAATATATTTTAAATAATTAAATTTGATTTCATTATTAATAAAAAATCAAAATAATTATAGTATATCTGATTAAATAATCTATTTTATTATTATTTGGAGTCAGAAAAAAATTGCTCTATTTCCTTCTGGACCTGCTATTATATTTTATTATAATGTATAATAAAATTGTTGTAGAAATTGAATATTATAGAACTTGAAATAAAATTGTAAAATTATCAGAATAGTAAAGATACAAACATCGGAAAAAAATATAATGACTAGTGCAGTGAATGAGAAAGGTAAGGATGAGTAGGGAGGGGCAAAAGGAAACGATGAGACAGCTATAAGAGAGGGGGAAAGAGAGAAAAAGAGAGTAGACAAGTTGGCGCGTGAGCGAATAAATGAAAGAGAAAAAGAGATAAAAAGATAGTGCAATAGAGAATGGGAATGGATGGGATGTGATGTGATGGCGGATATGGCAGGGGTAGGTCTCACTAGGCGGGTAACCCGCTGGCGGCATTGGCAGGTATGGCGATGATCACACGAGAAATTCACCGTCGCGTTGCAATGAACAAGTGAATAATAACGTCATCGAGGTAATCGTAGTCCTCGCAAAATTGATTAGGAAAAACGTTTACTTAACCACAGCCAAGAAAGTTGATTGGCGAATGCAAACTAATGTATGGAAACGAAACAAGAGTAGGAACGGTATTGATTCAATGATATGTATTATCTCATGAGTGCATTATTTATCATCATCGGTGTATTGGGGTTAAATTATCCCCTTCTTGCGAATACCGATGGAAAATCGAATTTAATTAGCGTGGCAAAGTGTTGCGAACACAATGAGCTTCTTGTCGACGACACGTGCACGCCATTGACGGAAACGAATGAGACGGAGTGGAGACCGGAATTTATAGAAGAGGTCAATGGCTTTTCAAAAAATAAATTAATTAAACCGAATTATCAATTAAAGATCGGAAGACCTAAATGTCAGTCTAATGAGCGTCAATGGAATGTATATCATTATCGATCCGGTGACGATCGACTTGCGATATTAACGAATGGTGTCTTACGACATTATACTACTGATTTAACAAAGGAAAAACATGAATACAATAATGTATTTGGATTTGATGCTGCAAGTTCAACAGATGAAGATAATTTTGAAACAGTATCAATTCATTATGATTATCCATTCGGACATTATTGCGCTGACAAAGCAATTTTGAGCAGAGATCGATTAGTAGCGATGTATGCAATGATTTGCGTACCTGATGTAATTGTTACATGGTCAGATACAAATTATTTGATGAAACATGCGATTGATCCTACCTTTCATGCAATATCTATAATCAGTTATCTAATTGTCGCAGTTATCTATTTTGTTTTACCACAACTGCGTGATCTTGTGGGAAACATGATAACTAGTATGACTCTGTGCCTTATAGCTGGTCAATGTGCATCAACAGTCAGAATCTTTACGGAATTTGGCAATCACGTCAGTTTTATGATTGCTGGTACGAAATATAAGATATTAAAAGAAATTTTAATTACACTTTTTAAATTATTTTTTATTACAGAAAATTAAAAATAATAAAATTCCGATTAAATATAACTTAAATAAAAAGCAAATTAACATTTAAATAAATATTTATGAAAATATTTTTTTCAGATACTGTCATGTATGTCTCCTTATTAGCTGCATTTTTTTGGTTAAATGCCTTCGGTTATTATGTATGGAGCACTTTTCGTTCACGAAATGTATTTTTAAGAGTTACTGATGGTAGAAAATATTGTTATTATTCTACATATGTTTGGTGTTCAACAATTAGCATAGCTGGTACTGCAATTTTTGCACATTTTACTTTAGAAACTAATAAACCTATTATTGGCGGAAAAATGTATCCACCTCAAGAAACGATTGGTTGGCTTGGTATTTCTGTACTATTTACATCAATCGCATTTACAATAATGATTGATTTATGTTTCGTATTAACAACCGCGAATAAAATAAAACGAATGAGTACATATGGTCGAATTCATCATAAAATGAAATATAGCTTTAGAATGTTTGTTTTCTTATTTGTAACAATGAGTACTGGTTGGTTATCATTACTATTATCGAAATTAAATTACGAAGCATTAGAATATTGTCATATCATCATTAATTTATTAGAAGCAATTTTAATATTATACGTTTGTGTATTCGGGCAGAGAAGAGTTACATTTTTACTTAGTAAAACGTGTAACTGCTGTAATTCAGGAGAAAATGTCGAGGGTCTTGATTGGGGTGAAGAAATGACTGCCATTAACGCGGGATATTAAAAACTATGTAAAATATTTTTTAATTTCATGAATATTTCGAAAAATATAAAAGATATGAAGATATATCAGATGAAAGTTGTAAAATATTAAAAAGTTAAATAATTTATTTAAATTTGTGATAATTTTGAAGATACATTTCTAGTTATAATATATTTAGACAGTTATTTCTATATATTTAAAATATTTTGATGTCAATTATAATAATAAATAATAAAATGAATAATATAGGTTCAAATTTCAAAAAATTATAGCTTCAAATTTAAAAAATTCGAAATTCATTTTCGCGGTAACTTTATAAGATCATTGCAAAAATAAATAAATGATGCTATTATCCATTTATTCCTCTTATTATCCTATGTTTATCTATATCATCAATCTCTGCATCTTCCGAAATATACTTTATGAAAATAAAAATAGAATATTTGATATATAGTATGAAATTTGATTTGATAATCAATAATTTTAACAACATTATATTTTATATTTTTGAATAAATTTAGTGAGATTCAAAATTTTTTACAAGTAAAATTCTTTATAAGTATTCTTTATAATATAACGTATTTTATATTATAAAATCATATAAAATATTACTCTAATATTATAATTAAATACACAATGAAAAATAAATTATTTCAATTAATATTAAGAAATATACTATCTATCAAAATATCATTTTTCTATTTACTTTAAAATTATTGTATTTGTATTGTATATTAAGTATATTAATATATACTTAATAATTATTATATATTTACTTGGAAATTATAACTTACCTGACCAAATAATTCACCTTCCAAACGATGTAATAAATTGGATAATTGACATCGTACTACTAAATGACAATCATCCATAACAGTATTAAAAAACCGTCTAGTTGGTAATAAAGCTTCTAAATCTATTACTAACTCCAGAAATCTTTCACAATATCGTACTTTATCTGGTAAAAGTAGTCCTATTAAAAAATACATATTAAATTATTATAAGACAAAAAATCTTTATTATAAAAGATTAGATTTTTATTTCTTTCATTTTACCTTCCTCTGGTATTGTTTCTAATATTGTCATAAATTTTATCATCAATTTATGTAAAAATTTACGTTCCCATTCTAACTTTTCTTTATATTCAGGATTGTCTTTTTTTCTTATAACTTTCCAATATTTTCTCCATTTTGGATATTTTCTAAATTCCAATTCTCTTCGACCTTGTTGTAGAGAGATCCACATAGCTAATGACACTAATCGTTTTACTTCTTCTCTAACTAATGATACTTCCATAGAATTAAAACAATGATTCAAGAAAACAATCAATGCTGTTTGTTCTTTTAAGTCAAAATCCATTATACTTTCTTCAAGACATGCTTCTAAAACTTTTTGAAAAAAATCAGAAAAATGTTCTGAATTCTTTTCAAATGCCTCCCAAACTTGAACACGTTCTCGAAATTTTTCATTAACCATGACAACAATAGACATTGTATGTGCACGAGTTGCAATTTTTGCATTATAATTTGGCCATAGAAAATTTTCTAGATACTGACTAAATTCTAACATCATAATTCTTCGAATAGAAAATTTAGATGCACATATTTCTTGAATATAAATATCTTCTACTATTTGAGAATTAAATGGAAGATGTGAATCCATAGTATGTGGTGCCCAATACTTATTTGCTAGCTGTAATTGTTTATTCAAATAAATAAATAAATATATATTTCTTTATAATAAAAAAATAAAATGCTAAATTATAAATACCTGAGTTATACGATCAGCATTAATTTGTTCTACTGTAGGAGCAGGATTATTGCTTTTCATTGTTATTTGATTTTCCATATTGATTTTATTATTATATCAAATTTTTAAATATAAAAATTCATTGATATTTTGAACCAGCTCTGATAAAATGTTTATATAACCTATAAATCTTACAAGTCTTACCTTAGATCATATATACATATGTCTACATCAATATATATAGTTAGTTTAAGTCTGTAATTCTATAATCTTATCGATGAATCTGGTTGGTAGTTTCTAGATAAAGTATAATTTTTTTTTGTTTTATTCCTTTTTAATTTCTCAATTATTTAATGCTAAAAATATAGCTTAAAATTATGTTCACAAGATTTTAAAGATTTTAAAATTACACATAAAAATTAATTATTTAATGTTTATAAAAAATATAACCTAATTCAACTAATATTAATCAAGATTGACCAATGTTGTGTATGATAATAAATAATATATATTCACATCATACAATTATGCATATAATTATGTATGACATTTATGTATGATCACTTTTTTATATTATATCATTTAAAATATTATTCATTCATATTTTCATTATTCACATTTATTAAATAATAATATTATATATACATTGAATATTCTATATACATAATTATATATGCAGTTTTTATTCGGAACTTATAATTCAGTTGCTCATTGGTTACACTAAAATTTCAATTATTACTATTGGTTAAAGATACTATATATATTATATAGTATATAAAGTCAAATGACTGGGTATATTTACAATTATTTATTAAATTTTTATTTTAAAATTAAATAAAGACAAATATACGGAATATAGAATAAGAATAATAATAATAAGAAATAATAAGAATAAAGGTTAGTATACATTTTTTTCTCTTAAATAAAAAATACATATTTTGTTATTTTTCTTACTATATTTTCTTATATTTATTGATAGATAAATGATTATATATTTCCACACAAACATTCAAGATACATGCAGACTAATAGTATTTATATACTTGAATTTAAATTCGATTTTAATCACTATCGTAATTTATTCAATAGAAAATATTATTAAAAAAAATTGTATATAGTTTTATATATAATTTTTAATTTAAAAAATATTTTTTTTTGTTATTATAATATTTTCAAAAGTTCTAAAATTTCAATTCTAAAGTGTTCAATTATATATGTTCAAGTACAATTTCTAAAAGTGTTATATCGAAATATTTCTAATTAAAATAAACGTAATGTCGAATTCAAGAAAAACCAAAAGACGTGATAGTGACTCGATAGATGTTAATTTTAAAAGAATTAAATTATCAAATGAAGATAATACTGAAGCAGAGAATAATAAAATTCTCAATGACGCATTACTTGGAAACATATCTGAACAAGTATTGTCAGTAGAACGTGATTTAGTCATAGAATTAGGAAAAATTACATTCCATTCGCCTATAGAATATGTTTATAGTCCACTTGAATATGCGTTTAATATACATACTATGTATGTACAAAAATATTGTAATACTATCAAAAAGATATTGTTTCTTGGAATGAATCCTGGTCCTTGGGGTATGTCTCAAACTGGCGTGCCATTTGGTGAGATAAGCATGGTTCGTGATTGGTTAAAAATTTGTGGTCCTGTGGGAAAACCAGTCAAAGAACAACCAAATAGAAAAGTAACAGGATTTCAATGTAATCGCAGTGAGATCAGTGGGAAAAGATTATGGGGTCTTTTCCAAAAGTTGTGTGGAAGTCCAGAAAAATTCTTTCAACAAGCATATATACATAATTATTGTCCTATTGCTTTAATGAAAAAAAATGGCTGTAATATTACACCAGCCGAGATAAAGGCAGTATTTTTTTTTTTTAAATATAATTATATTTATATAAAAATTATATATTTTTAGGGATCAGAGATACAAATATTACATTCTAATTGTGACAAAGCTTTATTAGATATCATTAGAATCTTAAAAGCAGAAATTGTGATTGGTATTGGTGGATATGCAGAAAAACGAGCACAATTTGTAATTCAATCATCAAAATTACCTATTAAGGTGATTATGAAAATTTGAATTAAAGTAGATTTGAAATATATATTTTTCATATTTTTATGTTTTTAGGTATTATGTTTACCTCATCCAAGTCCACGTGCTGTAAATAATAAAAATTGGAGTGAAAAAGCAACCAAAAAATTAAGTGAATTTGGATTACTTGAATGTTTTATATCTTAGATTCATTTTACATTAAAAGTTTAAGAATATTTAATAAGAAAAATAAGAATAAAAAAATACAGAAAATTTTTTGTTTGTTTATCAGTATTGTACAAGTATTAGTTATCAGTTATATCTAATTTACTATATGTAAAATCTATGTGATTGTTTTAAAAATTTATGATAATTTATACTATTACATATGAGTGTATTTGTTTGATAATATTTCTATAAAAATATATAAAGTTTATGTTATTATAATTAAAAAAAAACATAATGGATATTTTAAGTTGGATGAATATTGCTTTACAAAAGGCAAATGATTCATTACAAGCTGGTGAAGTTCCAGTTGGTTGTTTATTTATATATAACAATAAAGTTATTGCTACAGGTAACAATACAGTTAATGAAACTCATAATGCAACTCGACATGCAGAAATAAACTGTATAGATCAAGTTTTAGAATTCTGTAAAACAAAAAATTTAAACTATAAAAATGTTTTTTATAATATTAATGTTATTGTTACAGTAGAACCTTGTATAATGTGTACATCTGCATTATGTCAGCTACAAGTATGTAACATTATATATGGTTGTGGAAATGATCGTTTTGGGGGATGCATTAGTGTTTTTGAAATACCAAAACTTTATAATTCAAAAACAGTAATAATGGGAGATATTAAAGGTCATGAAGCAATGACTTTATTAAAAGAATTTTATAAAGGTACAAATCCAAAGGTACCTGAATCAAAGGTAAAAAAAAATCATAAAAAAATGCTACAAAAATACTAAAAATTAAACAAAGATTTAATAATTTTTATGACTATAATTGATAATGAAGAGGAAAAACAAAAAATATTATAAAATACTTTTATTGAAAAAAATTATTTTGAGTTGACATTTTAGTTGACTAATAAAAACATAATTTAATTATATTATTCACAAAATAAAATATACCTTTTAATTAAAATTGTAAAAAAAATGAATAATAAAATAATAATTATTAATTTTAATTTTGATAAACAAAAAATTATGAAATTGATCATTCCTCGTTTTTTTTTAATTTTTGTAAATTATTATTTCAATTCATTATTAAAAGATAAATTTTAATTTTAAGTTGGATAATAAAATACATAAATAACATGTCAAATAATTTTAGAATTGATTATATATTGTCAATATTTATATAAAATTGTAATAATTTATAAAATTCTTAAAAAATATATTTATGAACACCATGAAAGATCTAATTCACATTTACCTTGATACCATCTAACAAGTAATTGATTTTTTAATGAATAATCTTTTAATATCATATTTTTTGTCTAAAATAATAAATAAATAATATATATATATATAGTTTTTAATAAAAATAAAATTTATTTTAAAAAACCTTACTATAGGAGGTGGAAAAATTCTTTGAAAATCCATTTTGTTCTGATGTTCTAAATAACTTTGTGAAAAAATCATTTTAATTTCTGGTGTAAAACATGGACTACACAATTGACATTCTACACGAAAACAATCATTACATTCTATACATAATTCTGGTAAAACCATTATATTCTTGTCAGCTACTTCCATTTGTTTTTCCATTTTATTTCTAAAAATTAAAAATATAAATTGAAATTATTTCAATAATATACCTTAAAAAATTTTTAATTTAATTATAAATTTATAAGACCTTATTTTTAAAGAATCTTTTCTGATTCTTTGTCCTATGCCGACTAATGAAAATAAGTTGAATATAACTTGTTCATAAAGTAACTGATTTGCTGGATAATGTGCTGAGGATAAATTTGGAGACATATTTGCCTCCATGATATATACATTTAAATCTTCATCAAGAGCAAAATCAATTCTAATTAATTCGAAAAAATTTCTTTCATTTCCAAAACGTTTTACAGCTTCTATAATATAACTTTCTTTCAACAAGACAATTTCTTTGATTGCTTCATATATATCATTCCAAACTTTTTCTGGATATTTTCCATGCGAACGTATATATGCGTCGAATGAATTTTTCATTGAAAATTTTAATTTAATATAATAATGTTTCAAAGATGGAACATTCCAAATTGGCAAGTAATCATCACCAACTATATATTTGTCTAAAATTTTAGAATTGAATGGGTAATATTTTATAGAACAAAATCTAAAAAGAACATCACCTTTATATGCATATATTCTAAGAGGATTCACAGATGTAATTACAACATATACTCCAATATCAAATTTATATCCATCTATAAGAAATGGTCGCTGTATAAATTCTTGCATAAAAGATCCAGTTTCTGTAACACTTATTTCGCTTGTATTTTTTATACTAATACCTCGATGATTATTCGATTTTTGTATAAATATTTTTTCAGAATGTTGATTAGTATATAAAAGAAATTCTTCATATTGTTCTGGTATTTTAAATGCTGGTAAGATATAGCGACTTTCCGATGTTGATAAATCTACTTTATTTGTAATGTATCCGCAACCAGGAAAATGATTGATTCGCTGATGAGGTTTCAATTTGTTCATACTAAAATTTAAAGTTCTAAATGGATAATCATGTGCCCACAGTAAATCCCAATTATATTCATCATGAGTTTGTTTAAAACCCAAACGTTCTAATACGATAAATATATGTTTTAAATGTCTAATATTATTACTTTTTGTATATATTCGATATAATGGATTTCTTTCTTTCATTTCTAATACTTTTATTTGCATTTTTGTTAAATTTTCTTGGTAGTGTAAAAAAGAAAAAAATAAATAATATAAAATTATTGGACCCACTATAGAATATAAAAAAATCTTTAAAAATGTTTTCATTTTTAAATTAATCATTTGAGTATAGATTGTAGAATAAACATTCTAAAAACAGTTTAATTGTTAATTTAAATAATGAAAATAATATCATTTTAGAAGATTTACAAACCTCTTTATTCGACATAATTAAATATAAAATTCTAATGAAATTATATATATTTATGGAATTATATAATTACAAAATATATATATATATATATATATGTAAAAAAACACAATGTATTTGAGATTAAACCATTAAATTGTCATTTAAAGTACCGTTATAAATTTCTCTATATCATTCACTTCTAAATGAGAACATACATTTAAGAATTAATTTTTATAACAAATCGCACATATTATTTTTCAGATATTCTATTTACCGTTTTTTAAAATGACTTTAATAAAATAAAACATGCAAAATTATTTTCAGTAATAAAATTTATTTGGTTTATTATAATGATTTATATACTTAGTATTTATATTATATTACTAAATTATATTTTTTATATAATTTTAATGTATTATATGTATATATAACAATATATATTTAAAATAATTAATTTTAATGAGATATTAACATTTAAATATATTTAAAAATTGGCGGAAAATATATAGAGTATTACTGCCATGGATAATGTAATGTTTGCAAATTAATACATAGATTAGAATAGATTACATTACATTTTCTATTTAATTCATTTTTATTTTAATCCATATTCAAAAGCATTAAGGCTTCTTTACAGAGCTTTGTCCTGATCATTTTAATATTATTGTATATATATTTTTCTAAAATAAAATCAAAATTTTGAGCAATAAGAAAATTTAATAAATCCATTTTTATGAAAAAATTTTACAAGTTTATTTTTATTAAGTTGTAATACAAAATATGTGCATAATTTTTAATTCATAAATAATTCAATTCATACATGAATCTGTATTAGGAATATAGCAATTAAAAAATGTATGAATATAATATATAATGCATAGTAATATTTATAAAAAAATGTCAAGAAATTATTTTTAAAGTATCGTAACAATCGTAACAATATGTTTTATAGTCATCTATATTATACACAAGAATAATTAAATCGAAAAATATAAATTTCTATACTTTATTTTTTATTAGCATATTATATCTTTATTTTTTATTATAATTTTAATTTATATTTTATTTATTGTTTTTATAATAAAATTGGTTTTTAATTTTAACTAATAACGTTACAATCTTTCTATATTGAACGTCACATGTGATACGAAAAATATTAAGGTATTAACAAGTGAATTCAGCATTAAAAAGTATTGCATATCACATCTAGTTTATATCTTATTTGTGACTAACATTGTTTTCGATCTTTTAGATTCTTGAATCGGTGCAGTTATCATTTCAATAAAAAAGAAATGGGTTTTCAAAATATTTGGTATTCGCATCCGCGAAAATATGGACAAGGATCTAGGTCTTGGTAAATATATTATTATTTTTTATTATATTATACTTCAAATAAATAAATTTGTATCAAAAAATTACATGAAATATATTTGACCGCGTGTCAATGTTTTTTCTATACATCATCATATATTTTTTTCAATAAAAATTGTTTTAAAATATTAATTACTATATTATTATTATTTATTATTAATTATAAAATGATATTTTAAAAAAACTTTTCTGTATTTTTTAATATTTTTAATGATAATAAGATAATAACCTCAATATTACAATTAATTATATTGTTATTTTATAGTCGTGCTTGCGCAAATAGACATGGATTAATTCGCAAATATGGTTTAAATATTTGTCGACAATGCTTTAGAGAATATGCTGCTGATATTGGTTTCAAAAAGGTATAAAATTTAATCTTTTAAATTTAAAAATACATATGTCTTTATTTATTTTTCAATTTTCTTTTACAGTTGGATTAACATTACAATAATTCCTAAATTCATTCAAATGTAAATCCCATATAATATAACATTAATTAATGAAATTGATTTTATTGACAACATTATTTTGAAAAATTAAATTATGTTGTATTCTATATAATTATAATAATAAAAATAATTTTATGAAATATCAGTATCATTGGTTTTATTAATTTTTATGTATTTTATATATTTTTATAATATATAATACATAAAAACTATGGTATAAATTAGCATTAAGCAAAATTTTTTAATTAAATAAAGTTAAAATTATCTTAAATTTGAAAATTATATTTTTCAAAAAATTAAATAATGCGTTATTTAAATTTATAGATATATGCAAGATCTTACATAAAAAATCTATTTTAAAATAATTTTGTTTATATTTTTATAAACTGTATAGATTTCTAGAAATCAATAAATAAGACACGATGTAATTTTTTAAGCAATTTCAAGTTATTTTTTCTTTTACAAAAATTTTTATTCGGTTTTATTAACAAGTTATTAAAGAAAAACATTAACCAATCATAAAGTACGTGCCACTAATGAATTACCAGATTTAAACAAATAAATTAAAATAAATATGCTTGACAATTATTAGATAAAAATTATATCAAATTATATGATTTACGAACTATGAATAAATTAATTATCTTTATTGGTCAAAAATCATTTTTACTATATTATCAGTGATTCAATGATGATTTATTCCCTAGATGATTATATTTTTCTATGTCTGGCAATCTTGCTTTTCACAATAATACTAAATAATGTTTTAAATGTATATACATAGACAGTACAATATATGAGTTATTTATATCTTAAATAAAAAATATTTGTATAATATTTGCATGTATTTTTTAAATGCAAAATATCATGGTATTTATAAATCCTCTACATTATACAAGTCTACTTGGAGATTCTGCATCGTACGTTTGGCGAACTTTTGAAGCAGTAAGTTGCAAATTTATTAAAAAATTTATCATTAATAAAAAAAAATAATTTCTACTTTTATTGTAATTAAAATATATTTAAATGATCTTATATAAATTTTATGAAATTAATTTATTACATTAAAAATATTATAACTATTTACTGATACGATGCTAAAATAATAATAATGATATTGAATTATAAACATTTTTGTTAAATAAAATTAATATAATATTAAATATTTATTCTATGTTGTAATCATTAATTGAATCATTAATTATAAAAATAATTACTAATTTTTTAAAATTATAATATTTGTAATAAAAATTAAAAATTATGAAGTTTGTCCATCTGTTTTTATAAAAAAATTTTTAAGTGATATTAAATATGCAATATTATAATTATAATATATTATTACTTTTAGGAAGTCAAAATACAATTTGTACCTAACAGAATTTATTACTTATAATTACAACTTATATTAACTATTATTTTATATATATATTATTTAATATTTTATATATATTTTATATAAACTTACCTTTATAATTATTGATTTATAACAAATAGTTTTAACAATAATTTGTATATAAATATTATATCAGAAATTGTCTTTAGGCACCCAAATATTTGGGATTAAAATCAAAAAATGAAATAAAAATACCATCACCAATACCGCTATGGAAATTAGCTGCAGATACAGGACCATATGTTAGACTTGCTGCTTTTAGTGGTGCAGCAGCTGTAATTCTTAATGGATATGGTTTTTATAGTAAGATCAAAATTATTGTGTTCTTTTAAATATAATTTTGTTTAGAAAGAATTTTAATTATATAATATTATAACTTAATATAAATTTTTTACTAATATTTTTTGTTAAATATTTTTTAACAAAAATAAATTTTATGCAATCTTTTAATATATTATTTATATAAAATAATTTTCATTTATTATATTTTAGAACAATATCCAAAATATGATGAAATACACCTCAAAAAAGTATTTGAAACTGCAAGTTATTTTCATTTTATTCATACATTAGCAATGTTAGGATTACCTCTATGTAAAAGACCTTTGTTGGTATGTTTAATTTTGATAAAATATCAATACATAATTTGGAAGAATATATTAATTACTATTTCATTATTTAGTCTACAACATTCCTGGTTTCTGGAATAATATTATGCTGTGGAACTTGTTATTATTATGCATTTACGGGTAAGAAACAACATGATATAATAACAAAAGTAGGTGGAATGTGTTTCATAATAGGATGGTTATGTATGTGTATTTAAAATTTTACAAAATGATAATGTATGTGAAGAAATAAAAAGTTAATGAAAAAAATTATTATGTAAATGTAAAAAAAGATTGTTATTATTTTTAAATTTAAAATAAACTATCTATGATTGATATTTTTATCATTATGAAAATATTATGAAACTACTTATGAAATAGTGATTAGAAAAAATATTTTGTTGGCAGGCAACATTTGTATTTTCATTTATTGAAAACTGCTAAAGAAATATAATATGATCTAAATAAAAGTAAAACTCATTTATACTAATGAATTGATGTAAACATAAATTTGTAATATTATTGATATAAGTTTAAGTAATCCTAAACTATTATACATTATATTTGTATTTCTAACTGCATATTTCATGTAGAATGATTTTTGTTCTACATTATGTATATATTATCAACTATTCGTTATTGTTATTCGTTATTAGAAATGTAATGCAAAAATACAACATGTTTTATGTTTTATCATAAAATACATAAAAATTATGAAGTATAAGAATATCGTAGATTGTCAGAAAAGAAATTTTGTATAATGCTAAAAAAAATATTTCAAGGATGGAACAAAGTTTTGAAGTAATCTTATTAATTTTATTTTAAAAATTAAAACGAGAAATAATGATTTAATACCAATTAATTTAATCGCTAATTTATCAATTAAGTTCCATATATATAAAAATAAAAATCAAAAGTGATGTATGTATATATTGATCATTTCAAGTAATAATACACAATATAAATGTAAAACAAATAGTCAATTATTTTCTTTTCTATTTGTGATCAATTCATATTTTCATAATTTTTGTATAGAATCACATTTCTACAGAAATATAAGAAAGTAATGTACCTTGTATAATCCATTTGATACACCAGCTTCGCTGATTTTTATATCCATT